AGGCAGGTAACAACTCCCAAATCTCAGATCTGATCCTGGCATTTACCCAAGGAATCCTAATCGGTATGTTCATTACCCTGTTTTAGGTCTTAAGTCTGTTGTTCTGTTATGTACTTTTTTTTTTTTTTTCAGCAGGCAAGGATGGGCTCATGTGTGGGGCAAGTATCTCTGGTCCTTAGAGGCCTAGATGTTGTGCTTAGAGAAGATTTTCAGCGTCTGGTCTTCCTCTCCGCCACGCCCCTGCTCCCCCCCCCCCCAAAAAAAGCCTTCCAGTGTCCTTTTCTATCACTAATACGTTGATCCTTAGTCTTTTGTCTGATAGTAAGATTACTGTGTGACGTTCTCCAGTACACATTACCCAAGTGCATTCTTCCATCGTTGCTGTTAAAATTCATGCATGATTTTTTTCAGGCTAATATACTTTTATATTATATGCACTTACATAATACTTATAATGCACAATTAATATGCATGTGTGTCTCTTATTTTAAAAGCCATTATAGAATACTATACATATTCCAGCACTCGTACATTTTTAGAAAGCAAACATAAACTTTCTGTCTCTGCGCTCACACAAATGTAGCAAAACCTTGGAATGTATTTTTAGTTAAGATAATTCTTAAGTTTTATTTGGTGAAGTGTGAAAAAACAATTTGTGGCCTTGGAGGGAGGTTTGACAGGGGCAAGCCTAACTCGAAGGGTTTTAGTTGTGAGCATTCTGACAACTGCCCTGGTTAGTTGGTTGACTTTGGGGCTTGCTTTGGCTTTGAGACAAGGTTTCCCGCAGCCCATGCTGGCCTAGAACTCAGGATGTAACCCACAATGACCTTGAAGCCCTCACCTGCCCGCTCTACTCTCGAGTGCTGGAGTTATAGCACATGTATCACAAAGATTTGTCCCGATTTGCTTTTCAAACTAGCATCTTGGGTCTAGTAAAACCTGTAGCACATCATGAGATGATGATGAGCTGACCAGAGAACAAGCAATTCCCACCAGGAGCTCTGCAGTCTCCATGGTGAGTGACACACGCAGCTACAAATCACTGACACATTTGAGTAAGTCTACCCCACACCAACACAACATCAAGTGTGTTTCATAGTCATTCATACACGTCAGGCCCACCACATTTTAAATGAGCTATTACTTACTGTGCCTGACAACACTGACCATGGACTGAGGTGACCCTGGAAGACAACAGCGGTTAAAGGCACCCTAAATGTCTCCTTAAAATGGCTTCCTTCAAGGAATTTGTTTCCTGAGGGCAAAGCCAAATACAGACCCCCTAAATTCCTACTCTTTCCCTCCTAAGTAATAACCTGACCTGTCTTGCAGATTAATTTAAACAAAATGTTTCTTAATTTTAGTTAAAATTTCTCCTTCATGGAGGTCCCTGGAATTTCTAAGGCCCTCCTCTCTATTTGAGCCTGTATATGACCCTGACTTGATAGTCTCTGAGACTAGACTAGCTTCAAGCTCAGATGTTCTTGGGTCTACTTTCCTATGAGGCCACATTGCATCACATTATCCAATATGAAATGACTTATAACTGTTTTACTCTTTTGGCGGGAGCTATGGGAAATGAGACAGGGTCTCTTGTAACTGAAAGAGGAAATAGAAGCAGTAGATTGATGTTATAAAAGATTTACCAATAAACTTGCTTAGAAAACATTAAGTTGCACAAAAGTCAAATTTAGCACAAGAGCCTTGCCTCTGCCGGGCAGTTTAGGTACGATAACCCTGGCTGGCAGGTGATTATTAATCCCTGACCTCCTATCCGGAAGAGCAGAATCCCACCTGGCAGCAGGCTGCCCTGGTTAGCAGCTGCCTGGGAACAGCAGCCCTGGTCCGTCTCTAGGAAACTCTGACGCTGTTTCACTTAATCAATCTCTCCATTTGTCCAAACACCCAAACCTTGGGATTTCATTGAGAAACAGGTTTAGTTGCTCAAAGAGTGACCTGAGGCCAGGACCAACATAAACTGTCAAGGTTTCTGTTCAGAGCAGTTGTGCAGTTATTAGAGTTATTTTCTTATTAACCTCTAAGTACTTGGAGTGACTGCTCACTGGGAAGGCATCAGTTCTGCAACAGAACAGTCACTGAACGTCCATCTTCCCACCTCCACCTCCCAACGACTGGGGCTGTACGTGCCCGGCTCTTTTCTGATTTCCCGAAGAAAGGCGTTTGCTTGGGAATCCAAGAGGAGCAGGAGGGAGACTGACTTTTGTGGTAAAAGTGTTAGAATCTATCTCTCAATGTTCAAAGTGTAACAGGGCCCCAGACCTTAGCACAACTGACTCCATGACAGAAATATCTTTCAAGCTGTAAAACTCAGCACACAGACAGCACCACCTGCCAAAAACTAAAACAAAGGCCTACTCCTTCAAAGTCCACAGTTCTGGGAAAGTCTCAAAATGTACTAACCTTGCTTTTTCAAGTCTGTAGTTCTGTCTCTGGCTAACTGTTCTTGTTAACTGAAGTTTGTCAACTCAGGACATGGTTTTTGTGCTTAAAAGTTCACCCTGAGAAAGGCTCGGGACTGCACTGGGATCCTGAACAACCACGGTAGTCACCCAGCTGGCTAATGAAGACTTTCTATTGGCTCAAACCCATATCTGAGCAGTCTTTTCTGGCGAACACCCCACAACACAAAGAACTATTATGTTGTTATACTGTTATCACTGTTAAGGTGATTTTTAACTTACTCCTGGGTGATCAGATGTAAAATGGGATTCATGTGAGATTACAGATGACCTTGTTCAGCTTCATCCATCAGCACAGGAAGGATAGTTGTCTTGTCTGGACAAGCAACTCCAGGAAGGAGAGACACGAGACCCCTACTGCTGTAAGAATTCCTAATCCCCAAGCCCTTCACCCTTCCCCTATGATGGTCAAAGCCAGGTTTTTTCCCTTGGCAGACCATTCGATATCTCCTAGGCGGCTGCTGCTCTCTGTGTGCACTAATGCACACAGTCCCGTCTGTTGAAGGTCAGTCTCCTAGCTCTGTGCCTCAGAAATCTAGCATTTTGTGCCAAAACCCAGGAAGGGCATCGAAGGACTACTGGCAACCAGAGCCCTCCACAAAGACAAGCCTCCCTGTCCGCATCCACTGGCCGGCCCTGGCCACAGGTAGCGTGGCAGGGTCTCTGTCTCTGTCAAACGGCTGTTTCCCTCCTTCCCCATCTCCCTCCCTCTCTCTTCTCGTTTCCCTGCTTTATTCTGAGATTTTGACATCCCGATGGGAGTCCTTTCCTATGTGACCAAACCGTGAATCTAACACAGCCAAATAGACAAGGTAAGTCAGGTCTTAATTAACGGGTGCCCCAATTAGGTCTCTCGGGGGCTCCAGGAGTACCCCATACCATCTTCAGACTGCTCAGTCAAAGGTTCCAGGAGCTTTCACCACCCCCTAACCTGGATTGGTCAAGAATTCCAGGAACTCTCCGCAGGCCATTGAGATTCTCAGGGAACCTTCCAATGGCCCCTGAGGTCTCTGGACTCTTGCAACATACAAGAATGGGGACACATTTGGTTAATCTGAAACTTGAGGAATGCCTCCCTCTGGGTTGCTGGATTTGACCCATTTTTTACTTTAGGTACACACTGGCCATGGATTCCAAATTGTCTGTGCCAAAGGATTCACCCTTAGCCTGTCCGTGGCCTAATCTAAAAGAGTTCCATTTGGGAGACCTCAGACTGGACACTAGTTCGGCTCTCGGTCCCAATTTGAACTGAATATAATTGGGTAATGGCCACCACTGACCCAAATTCAGAACTTTCGATTTCAATATCTAAATTGCTTTAGATAACTTCACAAGACAAAATGGAGAATGGCCCCATGGCCCTCCCCCATACAACGCCCAGTTCCTCTTAACCCTTCTCATGCCTGCCCCTCAGCTCTCTCGCAGCTGAGCCAATGCCCAAATGTAGGCTGTCATTTGAACTGGTTCTCCAAACCCGCTTCCCCTGAGGCAGAACAGTCTTTCTGTTTTGGGAATTCATCTTCCTTCGATTTATAGTCCACCTTTGTTTCTGCCCAACAAGCCTGGAAACTTTTGCTTGTATTTATATTTTCTGTCTAATGGCCTCTAGTTACAAGTCCTTAGATTATTGGCAACTTGATGTCTTAATAGGAGAAAAAATACTTGCTAAGCTTTTCAGAGTGTCTGTCCCCATCTGCAGACACACAAACTGGAGATGGATTTGTAGGTCTCGGTTCAGAATAACGGAGATTCAAGTGTCCTTTGGGCTGGGATGATATTGGAAAATGGTCACGTGCTGCTTTGCTTCCCTGAAAGGCCGCCTCTGGAGGTGGGATTTGCATGCCCACTTCAGACCCGAGCATGTTCGTCTCAAAGTTTCCTTCAAGGCCCCTGTCCTGACCTGCGGCAGGGAGAAGGACAGCAGACCAGCTCAGGAAACAAACGTGTGTGCTTGAGAACAGCTAAGAGGTGAACTGTTTCCAGCAGGGGCTACTGTTGATTATCTCATGACATTGTTTTTAATTAAGAGAGACCTATATATGAAAGTTAAAATGGTCAAACATAATTACAGATAGCTAGCTCTCTGAATCTCCCCCACTCCTTTCTTGGCTTTGTTCACAAAAATGTTCCCCCATTTAAGGTCATGCGTATCTTTGAAGTTTTTGCTGGAATGTAATTTTCTTTATATGGGGTGGGGTGGGTTTAAGAAGCTAAACACCTCCACACACTATAAAACTTGTAATAAGAAAAGGGTTGATGGGTCAGAGTCTAAGTGCCGGTAATCTTCATTTGTTAGAGCATACCATTTATGTGTCTTGGAATCAACTCTTGTTTAAGAAAATACAAAGAAACAAAAGCAGGGTTAAGGAAAATGTTTAAACAAATGCAAAATATGAGGTTATGTTTTTTGGGTAAAAAAAAAAAAGAAGTGTAAAATATTTTGGATAAAAATGAATTTTTACATGATAAAAAGATATTTTTGTCCTAAGAATTAAAAAAAGAAAGAGAAGGACAAAGAAAGTAACAAAAGCTCAAAGCCAAGTTGCAGGAGGTCTGAGTAAATTACCCAAGGGTTATGGAGTATAGAACTTGGAAACAAAATATGTTCAATGATTAAGGTTTATAAATCCCTAAGTTATAATGGTCTGTTCATGCTAATAAAAACTGACTTCAAGTTGAATGTCTACTCACTTACATCTTGGCTAACCTCGGTAAGCTTTAGTTATTTTGAAAAACTGAGTCACAAAAAAACTATGATATTTTATAAAAATACACAATAAAAAGATCATGAAAATGAGGTTCCCAGTCTCTCCACAGACTATATACAAAGTTTATTTTGCTACTTAAGAGTTTCAATTCAAAATTGTAATTTTTAAGGCTTGAAACATTAACAGGGATAAAAATTTAAAAAAAAAAATACTAAACTTAGGAGAATTACTAATTTGTTATTAACTGTTAAAAATAATTAATACACAAAAGTTAATGATCAGTCACTTACAAATTATCAATTTTTTATGTGCTTAGAACTGTTTGTAGCCCATGCTCTGTACAAATGTAATTCATTTACAGAGACAAGCTTGGAGGGAAAGACCGATTGAAATCTCCCATTATATAGTCTTCTGCATACATTGTCAACATTAAATCTAAAATAAGTAACTCAAAACAAATTTAAAGTAAACATAGTTTGCTTGATGTATAATCATATTCAAAATTATTTTTTAACCGGTTAAAAAATAACTGACTATGAAAAATTGAATGCTTGAGTAAAATGGGTTAAATTCGCAATGCGCTTGCATGGCAGGACATCCCGCGGCCCGCATAGTGTTCTTTCCCTTGGATGGGACACAGTTCCACCACAGTGTACTGCATGCCAGTGTGAAGGCCTAGACTTCACTTTACAGGATCAGGAATGTGCCATGATAACTCGAATGGATAGAGAGCAGTATCCTCCTGCAGACATCCTATCTGAGGTTTAAAGGAAAGCCTAACAGGATCCAGATACTCCTGCAGACATCCTGTCTGCTGTTTATACAGGAAAGGAAAGCTTAACAGGACCCTGTCTGTGGTTTATGGCCCTTGGAGCTATCTAGATAATCCTGCTGAGCAGTCCAGATAATCCTGTTCAGCGGGTTGTGGTTCCCAGCCAAAAGTCTAGACCAATAGTTTCAAAAAAAAGCCCCTTCTACCCAATCCCAAGTTGCCAATTCTTGGCTTGTGGTTTTTCTCTGTAAAAACCCTCCACACCTGGGCTCATGGCCATCACCACATTTCCTTCCATTTGCCATGCATCAGCCCAGGTTGAACCTGAATAAAAGGACCCTTATGTTCTTGCATCGGAAACTAGCTTCTTGGTGGTCTCTGGGGGTTTCGAGAAATGGGTACAACACTAGCTTCATTACATAATAAGGATGCATGGGGCAATAATGTGTGCCAGAAGCCTGCTGCTTCTGTCTCTGGCTGTGTAGGCCGGACCAGGACAACCTCCTCCTCATCTGTGAGGAAGATGAATTGCTCCTCATGTCTCACATGACAGCAGGATAGAGTCTCTCACCCAGTGGAGGATCTTAGAGTCTTACCAACATCCTAGATGTCTTCCAAACAACAGAGCAGAAAGCAGCAATCATTCTGCCCTCAGTGTATCCTGAACTGATGTAGGAGGATGCTGTAAACAGGAAAACCTGGTACCTAAGCTACCACACAGCTGGTATGGGATCTGAATGCTAATTCAATCGGCTGTGTCCTTTACCTGACTTTCAGTTCTTCCTTTTAGCAAAACCTAATTCCAGGGACCAGACCCTAACCATTCATGTTCCCCGATTAAAGGAGGCAGCCAGACACTCAGTCATCAAACTGAAAGTTTGGGGTAATTATTCAGAATATCCAAGAAGTGTCTTTGGAAACTTTGCTAGACAATCCTGTAAGAGAGACTCAATAGAATCCTATTTCTCTTTTAATTTGTCAGTTAGATGCTGAATTTAACTGGCTTCCTTCACAAAGCTCCCAGGTGCTTGTTCCTTACACAGAAGTCTTATACAATGAACAGCTAATTACAGTTCCTCTCCTTCTACAGAACTCTGGTATATGCTGTAGCCAGTGCAAGCCAGGCAGGGTCCCGGGAGTTCCATCCCTCTTTCCCAGAGATCTCTTGAGCCTTAGAGCTAGTACTCCTAATGAGCTCCATGTTACTTGTCTAGAGGACTGCGCTCCTCACCTCTCTCTCTGCCAGTCACTGACATCAGGCATGACAGGGCTGGTTGGTGTTCCTCCACTTGGTTTGTTAGTCTCTTTTTCTGCAAGCATGACTGTAGCTCTTCTAGATGAGGATCTGATATTTCTGCTTGGAATCCATACAGGTCCATTTATAGTTTCTGGAAAAACACAAGCAAATCTTTTCCTAAGTGCTAACACTGCATCTGGCCCATTCCTTACCCCTGTTTCAGGGTTGTCCAACAGACTAAAGCTGCAGTTTGGGGGCTATGCTGAGCAGAATGTAACTCCTTGGGTGTGTGACCATCCACACTGCAAGTGAAAACAATTAATCATAGCTATCTGTAAAGATTTAGGAGGAGACACCAACCATATGTGGTCATCTCCCCTTTTTTGTCTAATTGAAGCTTTAGACCATGTGGTCACTCTATTATCATGTGACCCTGTGGGCTATAAGATCTCCCTGTCTTTTTTGTTTGTTTGTTTGTTTTTTGTTTTTTGTTTTTCAAGACAGGGTTTCTCTGTGTAGCTTTGTGCCTTTCCTGGAGCTCACTTGGTAGCCCAGGCTGGCCTCGAACTCACAGAGATCCGACTGCCTCTGCCTCCCAAGTGCTGGGATTAAAGGTGTGTGCCACCACCCGGCAGGTCTCCCTGTCTCATAAATAATATTCCATCTTGCAAAAAAGGCTTGAAAAGGTTGCTAACATATGCTAACACAATGTGGCATGTGAGTGATCACATGTGAAGCTAATTCATCAGAAAGACCCTTACCACGTATAACATGTGAATAAGCATCACTAGAAACATGAACGTCTTTTAGTTTTCAGGTATATGGGTAACATCCATCTGCCAACAATGTTTAACTTTTATTCCTCTGGGGTTTCCATTGTCCATTCTACTCCATGAAGTCAATGGGACAAAAGGTTGCAAGAAGGAATGAGTTGCGCAGCTTGCTCTTTGGTACTAGAAATTTGGTTCTGTAGCATTTTAGCAGCTGCTGTAATAGAGCATGTGATTCAACAGCTGTCTCAAATACAGTAGCTGCCAATTTATCAACCTCAAAATTAGCTTTTACTAGTTCTGGCAAATTAGAGTATTACCTCACATGAATGACAAAATAAAGGGGGTAGACTCTGAAACAATTGTAATAACAGTGGATTAGAGATAGTTTTGATCTGTGCTGTTTCTACTCTTTAGTAATGCCCACCACATACTGTGAATCAGAAATGATACTGGGGGGGGGGGCTGCTGCATACAGGAGGATATAATAGATCTCCCTTTATATCTCTAGCTCTTTAATAATGACACAGAGACTTTTTATTAATTACAAAAGCTTAGCCTTAGCTGAGGCTTGTTCCCAACTAGCTTATTAATACTTGAATTAACCCATTTATGTTTATCTACATTTTGCCACAAGGCTTGTAGCCTCTCCTCAGTACCATATGTCCAGCTTCCTGATAGGCTAACCTCCGGCCCCTCAGATTCCTTCCCAGAGTTCCTCTCTCTCCCTGGAAGCCCTGCCTATCCTCTCCTGCCTAGCTATTGAGCGTTCTTATAGTTTTTATTAAACCTAAGGTGCCTTAGGCAGGTTAGGTTAAACAGAAACACATCTTCACACATCATACAAAAGGACTGTCCCAACAGGAGCAGAAATTCAGAAACTCAAAGACAGCTGCATCACCAAAG